CACTCACTGCACATAAAAGTAAATTTCCTACACCCCAAGCTTTTAGGGAAAACCTAAGATTGGCTGAAAAACTGGGATTCTGCAGACTTACAAGTGCATGGGATAGGACCTCAGAAAAGTTGAGACTTCAACCTTCTCTCCTTCAATTTTTCAGTAAAATTTGCACTCCAGGATGAGGTGCCATGTTTGGCTTGTGGCCTCAAGCATCCCTTGAGAGATCACTACATACTCCCAAGATAGATGCATGCCAGCTTGAGAAGCAGAACACTGGATGAAATATCACATCAAACCACAAATTCCTTATACCTGAAATGAATATAACACTGTACGACAACTATACTTCAATAATAAGCTCATAAAAAACCCTACAAGCTCTTTCATATGATGCAATACCATGCACTATACACATTTGTGTGCATTTGTGTGCCTACTAAACTTTATCTTTATAAAAAAACGAGTCCTGGGGCGCCTGGGTGGCTCAGTCGTTAAGCGTCTGCCTTCGGCTCAGGGAACCCTGCATCGGGCTCCTTGCTCCACAGGAAGCCTGCTTCTCCCTCTCCCACTCCCCCTGCTTGTATTCCCTCTCTCACTGTGTCTCTCTGTCAAATAAATAAATAAAATCTTTAAAAATAAATAAATACAAAATAAATAAATACAAAACAAGTCCAAAACCAATGAGCAACACTAATATGATAAAAGGCTATTTCTGCATGTTGCTAAACAACACAGGATATATTTCAGAAAAAGTTCAAAAAAGGTGGGATGACAAAGTACTTCCTAGAGGAGATGTACTCAGTAATAAACAACTAACGACAAAGAGTCTTTTACTTAATCTCCAATGACACATATGTAAAGCTTTATAAGTTCTCACCACTGGTCATGCAGCTCTGTAGTCATGCAGTCTTACCACTCTTTGACTTAGGTAGGAAAAGATGAGTCTAAATTAGCAAGACTCCTGAATTACACACTTTTGGAAAGAAAGAGAACTAATTTTATTTTGCTTTAACTGCATACAGCAACCAGAATTAAGCTACAGTGTGTTAACCCAACAAAACAGCTTGAAAGGGCCTGTGTAGAGTGGCTAGATTTCCACTGGACATGTAGTCCTGAAGACTAATCTTCACAGGGAATACCAGGCATTCCTTAAAATCACCAATTATCTGAGGAAAATCCGCACCAGGAAAGCAACAGTAGAGCATAAACATTAAAAAAATAAATAAAAGCATATAGAAAAAAGAAAGCCAATTCAAAAGAAGATAATAATTATCTTCAGAGTGAAAAAGGAGGACATCACATCAATAAACAAGAAGAGACTTTTTTCCCCATCTCCTAGAAGTGAAAATATAAAACTGCTAAAATTAAAAATTTAAGCGGCAGGTGACAGAGAATGCACACAACTGAAAAGCAAATTACCAACGCTAGAAGACTGAGCTAACAAATTCTTTCAGAACTTAGAACCAAAAGACAAAGAGATGGAAACTAGGAAATAACAGCTATAATATTTGAAGGCGAGAAGTGGTAGTTCTGGAAATACAAGTTCCAAAAAGAGTAAATAAACAGCTGGAGGGAAGGAAATGATTTTGTTCATTATTAAAGATATTATCAATGGGATGACTTGACCCTTGAGCTTGAATATAAGAGTTTTCAGATTGAAGTGGCTGAATGAGACAAGAATACATGAATACATGAAAAAACAGCCATACCTACACTATCAATAGATTCACTGATATGAAACAAAGAACAAAATCAAAAAATCCTAAAAGCTTCCAGAAAGGAAAAAAAGGCATTTTCTATGAAGAAATAAGATCCAGATTGACACTGACAACTTTTCAGCAACACTGCAAGCGAGGGGGCAATGGGGCAGTATCTTCACAGTTATGAGAGAAAGGAAATCTTTAAGCTGGGATTATCCTATACCCAGTCAAATTCCATTTAATGGTGAAAAGGGATGAAAATCTTCCAGAAGTTCCCCAGTCTTGAACTCTCTAAAAATTTATTAAAGGATGATGAGCAGCAAAACCCAAAAAGGAATCCAAGAAGTAGACAAGAGTATAAGGAATACTGATGAGCAAAGTAATAAATATTAACTCAGAGATAAATTTAAATAAATGCTATTAATAAAAATGATTTACAACAATCCAGAATGCAGTTATCAGTTGGTCTCAACACTGGAAATGACAGGGATATGAAAGGTGAAGTAAAAGTGTGCAAGGTGAGAGACAGAGGGAGAAACTTTAGGTAGTGAGAAAAAATACAAATGAGTTTAAATATCTGAACTTAAACTACACGGGGGCTGTCGAAGTACAAGGTACACCTTGAGGGAGAAAATGGAAAGCAGCAGCAGCAACAAGCATAGTCAAACTAACCAACAGCAGCAAAGGATAAAAACAAAGTATGGTGAATGGAAAAAACAAATTAAGAGAGGAAGAATAGCTGTAAACATCATTATCATAATCATAATAAATATAAACAAGTCAAAGTACCCAATTAAAGATCAGGGACTCTGAATGTGGCTGAAAGGAAAAAGCCAGCTATATTTTATTTGGGCCATGCTTAAAAACAAAATATCACAGGGCAGTTGAATTAAGAGATGGAGAAAGATAAACCAGATAAAAGCTAACAGAAAAAAAAAAATAGCAAAAACAGTTCCAGAAAAAATGGGATATAAGGAAAAAAGTCTTAAAAAGGACAAAGAGGGGTACCTGGATGGCTCAGTCAGTTAAGCGTCCAACTCTTAATTTCAGGTCAAGTCATGATCTCAGGGCCGTGGGATAGAGCCCCAAGTTGGGCTCATGCTGGGCATGGAACCTGCTTAAGGTCATCTCTCTCTACCCTTCTCCCTCCCTCCACTCTCTCTCCCTCTCTTAAAAAAAAAAAAAAAAGGATAAAGAGGAATGTCTCCTACTGACAAAAGATACGATTCACTAAGAACACTTGAGCAGCCTGGATAAAAATGCCTGTCATTCTTGAAATCTTGTCGTCATCAGGTTGGTTGTCATTGTCAAGTCAGTGAACAAAACAAATCCCAGCCTTTGTGGAGCTTTTGTTCTAGTGGAAGACAGACCAAAACCCTAATAAGCAACCAAACTATACAGTGTACCAGATGGGGATGAGTGCTAAAAAACTAAAATAAAACAGGGAAGGGTGAAAGGAAGTGCAATTTCAAGTGCAGTTAATAAAGGAAGACCTCACTAAGAAAGTAACATATGAGAAAAACCGCAAGGCTGAGGGGGCAACCATGAAGACTTCTGACGGAAGACAATTCCAGGCCGAGGACCTCGCAAGAGCTGGAGGGGGAAGTGGGCTCAAGATGGAAGAGCTCAGTAGCAATGGGAGGAAAAACCAGACATCCAGGAAACAGAAACTAAGGCTCCCTCCCTGAATGATTTTAAGAAGTTTCAAAATAAAACACATGAGGTCAGCTAACTGAAAAATGACATAACCCAAAAGATTACTAAAAGGAAGAGAATTTTAGAGATGTGTGACATGCAGTCAAGGAGACCTGAATTTAATCCGAAGAGGTTATTGGATTGTGACTATAACTAAAACAGCCGAAGCCTATTCGATTGCATTTCACCCACTGTGAAGGAAGACTGTTTTTACAGAGAAATGCTTAGTTGGAGTAGGATTCAGAAAAGAGAGTTTGAAAGACAAAATGTGACTATGAGTTTCCAGCAATGTCTGTGGGAGAGGGTATACTGATTAGTGGAACTGAAAAACGGTTTTATTTAACAGATACAGATCTTCCTCCACTTATGATAGGGCTCTGTCCAAGAAACCCACCATGAGTTGAAAATGCATTTAATACACCTAACTTACTGAACATCACAGCTTAGCCTAGTCCACCTTCAATGTGATCTGAACCTCCCACTAGCCTACAGGTGGGTAAAATCATCCACCACAAAGCCTGTTTTATAATAAAGTATTGAATACCTCATCTAATTTATTGAATAGTGTATTGAAGGTTATATGGGTACAGTACGGCTGTAAGTGCATCGGTTGTTGACCCTTGTGATCATGTGGCTGGCTGGAATCTGTGCTCACTGCCTCCGCCCAGCATCACAAGAGAGTACTCTACTGTAAATCGTTAGCCCAGGAAAAGATCAAAATTCAAAGTTCGAAATAGGATTTCTACCGAATGCCCATCACTTTCACACCATCCTAAAGTCGAAAAATCCTAAGTTGAACCATCTTAAGTTGGGGACTGTCTGAACATTTCTCATTTTAATCATAAAGATAGATGTGTTTGGAGATAAGAGGTCATTAGAATCATCCAACTGATATCAGGATGAGAAAGCAACCTTAAGTAGTGGTAATTTCTCATACAGATTTCCTATAAGAGGAGAGTGTGCTTATCAAAAGGGCTTGAGTGTCTAGTCCCAAGGACACTTTTGCCAACATACACTAATAAAATGGCATTCTGATTGATTTGGTATTCTCATGTGAGTTTGGTTCCAATAGTCAGTAGCCTGGAACTATCTGAATACACAGAAACACAAGGGACCTAGAAGTTAAGGGCCAAGCTTTGAAAAGTAGTTATTACAAGGCAGTAAAGCTGGGTCAACCATTAGTAGCCCTCCCAGGTGTCACCTGTACCTCAGCCTTCATCCCTCTAACCAGATGTTGGAAATGCTATATTGAAGAGCGAGCCCTGGACTTAACAGTATGGTGATGTACCCCACCCAGGGCTCTATTACCACTAGTCATGCAATCCTGAGTGGCGTCACTTAATCTCTCAGATCCTCAGAGAGTTATACAGGCTTTAAAATGGGAGTAATAATGGCTCTTTTACCTCACTGGTTTGTTTTAAGGCTCAGAATCTAAATCTAAATCTAAAACAAACAGCTATGTGAATAGAAGATATTAATACTAGCATCATTGCATGCCCTGCAGCAATGAGTATATAATTGATATGCCGAAGCACATTACCACAATTATCTGAAAATTGAAGACAAGATGAAAAACCACCAACCCACCAAACAAAATATAGGAAATCCTACCTCTCAGCAACTGGTTTGGCAATGTTTTCAAAAATCGTCTCTTGGTTTGCACCCTGATCAAAAATCTTTTGAAATCTGCAAATATGAAAGTAGTAGTTATTTAAAGGCTGAGCTTCAAACACAATTGGGTTAATATTTTTTTTCCTAAAAGCTTTGTGAATTACCCCATATTTACATACTGGGCTTACCTAACCTGACACAATATCTGCCCTGTAGTCCTGACCACACTGCCCTGTTGTACCCCTGTATACAAATGGTGGGTAAACAGTATTGCTTTGACAAGATCTGCACAATAAATCCCTCTGAAAAACTGCAGCAGCTTTGAACCAAATAATAAACTGTGTGTTCTTTAGCCCTCAAGAGGGACAGTGTCTGCAACTGGCATCAAATTCGAATCCAGATAAGTACGTGAAATGGAAACCCAAGAACAGGATGTAAACAAGACATTGAATTTCTGATGTTTGACCTGTAAGGACAGAATGCAGCTGTGAAATATATGATTATCAAACTTGGTTTTAAAATTGTGAATTGAGGTTGATTTTCCATCAATAGGTGCTGTATCTTGGTATCGGCCACTTAAACTCTCAGGGCAGTTTTGCCCCATTGGGTTTATCATGAATCAAAAGTCAAAAAGTAAATCCAGATGGGCCTGCAAAGAGACATCTTTATCAGATTGGCAAGGCCAGGGCCGTGGGGCAGAAGAACGGTGTCGACACTGCTTGTCTCACAATGGCGCTGTGACTGAGCTCAGTACGGGATCACCGGCACAGTGGGAAACCCAAGGTAACTTTTATAGTGTGGTAAGTCGCTTATTGGCAGGAATGGCCCTCATTAAAACATCATGAAGGAAGTAAGAGGAAAACGGAGACACATGGGGAGGGAAAGGAGGAGGGGGGTGAAGGGGGAGAAAAAGAAAGAGAGAAGCATAAGCATATAGGGCAAAATGTTAACAATTGGTGAATCTCTCACCAAGCGTCTAGGAGAGGCTACTGCATTATTCTTCCACCTCTTCTGTGTATTTAAAATTTTTCAAAATAAAAAATAGGGGTGGTGTGGCTTTAAAGCAAAACCTTTAAAACAAACATGTTGAGGGCATCCTAAGCAGCTTTTGGAGTGGCTTAGGAACTTCTGGTCCACGTGTCTCACTTGTGATTCACAAGTGAGTTGGACGCATGTTCTATTAAAGTAGAGACTACATGGGGACGGCTGGGTGACTCAGTCGGTTAAGCGTGTACCTTCAGCTCAGATCATGATCCCAGGGTCCTGGGATCGAGCCCCACATCGTGCTCCCTGCTCTGTGGGGAGCCTGCTTCTCCCTCTCCCTCTGCCTGCCACTCCCCCGCTTGTGCTCTCTCTCTGACAAATACATAAATAAATAAAATCTAAAAAAAAAAAAAAAAAAGTAGAGACTACATGAAATGTGGGACTATTTTCATGACCAAGGAGTTCAGAAGGATGTCTGGAGCTGGGTAGGAAATACAAAATAGAATGAAATTCATGGTCTTTAATCAACATTAACTTCAAAAGATCCTTAGAGCTTATCAACTTTCCTTTTGAAGAAGCAAATAATGAAACTATACAAAAAGAGAGATTGTCAGACACTCTGGCGACCAGGTCATTTAGCAGGCAAGATTATATCTTAGCAGTATTTACCAGTTTGCTCAGAATACTCCTCAAAGCCCTGCAGGTGCATCACAGCTTCAGATATGAATGCTGACGTAACACAGGGGGCATGGCTGCTCAAGCGGTCTTGAGAGTACTACCTACTGTGATGTCTGAGCACAGGCTCAGCGGCACTTTTGAGGATGATGGTGATAAGGCTGATTTGCTTCTTTGACCAGGCTGGCGATGACGGAGTGAATCCATCAGCCATTCCCAATTCCACCTCCCTAAGTAATAGGAATTACATCGACCACCATGTAAACCCAAGAGACAGCAGGTGTTTCAGTAAATCATACAATGGTACTTAAAGACCAAATATCATCATCCCAAAATATTTTATTTTATGTAATGTAGTTACATAGTAATTTGAAAAGTCATTAATGATCAGCTAGCTTCCAAAAACCATGGAAGAACAAAACAGAATCAGAGAGTTTAAAGAGTTCAGTCGAATCTTTTCCAGAGAAGGAAGTTGAGGCAATTACTCGCAGCCTGGAGCTAATCAATAATGCTCCCTGAGACATAACTTCAGTGTCCTGATTCTGAGGAGGTCCCTTCATTTATTAGGAAGTTGTGTAGGCTTTTTCTAAAGTCCATTTAGAACTTGGCATATGCTGACCTCTTCCCACCCCAAACCTGTTCTTCCTGGTCCTCCACCTCCTAGTACAGGACAACTCCATCCTTCTAAACATGCAGCCCAAAGCCCTTAGGGCATCCTGACTCCACCCCCCCACCCCCCTCTCTCTCTCCCTGTTACACTCTGTATCCTACCCATCCACTAACTCTGTCAGCTCTGACCTTCAAAATGCATCTAGAATCCAACTATTTCTCAACATTTCCACTTGCTACTACCCCGGCCCAAGCTACCATAATTTCTTGCCTGGTCTCGCTTGAAACAGACTACTCTTACAGTCTGTTTTTCCACGTCCCAGGACAAATGATCCTGCTAAACATAGTGAAATTATTTCATTCTTCTGCTCAAAACCCTCCCTTGCCTTCCCTTAACACACTGGGAGGAAAAAGCTTACAATGACTTTTTCCCCAAAAACAATCCTTAGGATGACTTCTAAGCCTCCCTATGATCTGGCCACTCTGCTGCTCCTTTAACCTTCTTCTTCTCCAGCCACACAGACCCCTTTACTCTTCCTCAGACATGCCAGCACTCTCCCATCTCCGGGACTTGCTCTTGGTTTTTCCTTGGCCTGGAATCCCCAATCCCTCAGACATCTGAATGTCTGACTTCCTCACCTCCTTTAAGCCTTAGCTCAAATATCACCCTCCTGGGACGCCTTCCCTGACTGCCCTATGAAACACTCCATCCCTCCCCTTTGTGGCCCCTCCTCCTGGCACTCCTTATTCCCCTTGCCTGTATTAGTTTTCTCCGTGGCACTTAACACTTTCTAATATACACTGTACTTAAGGATCTGCCTATCTACCCCCTCCCACAAAATGTAAGCACCATAAGAGCTGGACCTTTGTTGCATCCCCTGCTGTGTTCCTAGCCCTTAAAACAGCACACAGCAGATGGTCAATAAATATGTATCGATTGAATGAATGAATTTTGGCAGGAAACACCCTTAAGATGCTGAAACATTTATCTCTGAACATAGGTATAAGTTAAATACTTTATTAATTTCTTAATTTAAAATGCTAAAACCAATATTTTTAATCCAGAGATTTAGAAGGAATGAGTAAGAGATTTAAAAATAAGCAAATAACGCATTTTCAATGAACATGTTTCAATGCACTGTTTCTATCTACATAATATAAAAGAATATTTTGGAAAAGGCCAATAGATGGAGACGTGGCCAACTGTTCCTAACAATCACATAGAATCACGCAGAATCAAATGTTTCAGCAAATTGTGCCTTTATAGAGACTGGCCTCACCCAGCTGTCATGAAGTCATAGCTATTGAAGTATGTGGCATGCTTACATCAGTGGGAGAATGCCTGCTTCAGAAAAAGTAAGTCATGTATTATAAAGCACTCCTTAAAGAACAAAATGAAAGGCAATAGGGAGCCAGAAAGACAGGGTAAGGACCACCTCACTATGCAGCCATGTGTTAGCACTCCCGCGTGCATACAGTAGAAGACACAAGGAGCGGGATAGAGGTGGGAGAAGGTAGATAAATGAGACACAGAGGACAAACCATCAAGACCAAAGAGACTTATTATGAGACATACATAAATAAATAAATAAATAAATAAATAAATAAATAAATAAATAAATTTGAGAGAGAACCATAAAAAATATCTGGGCTGGTTTTATGCAAAGGGTGAGGGTAGAAACAGTATGAAAACAGGGCCCAAGCAAAATAGCCTAGAAGGAAATGCAAGACAACAATTAGGATTCCTTCCACGGGATCTAGAAACCCACTATCTAAATTTAGGCAGAGATCAAATATGGCTTTGACTTGGGCTCAAACTTCTTCAAAAGTCAAAAGTGTGGATGAAAGAAAACAGTACAGACTGAAACTAGAGAATAAAGGCAGCATCAAGAAGCCCAAATCCCCATTTCAAGGCCTGGTTACTAAAAGAGAATTTGGACCAAAGGCACTGATGACAATCCAGGGGTGGCTGTTGGGTATGTTTCACCTGATCCCTACAGTTCAGCACTGTAGGGATGAGAAATATACTGCAATCCATACATGTGAGTATAGATGTAATTTAACATTTTCCAGTAGCCACTTTTTTAAATAAAGAAACAGGTGAAATTGATTTTAAGAATCTATTTATAATCCAATATAACCTCAAACTTTATCATTTTAAATGTAATCAGTATGAAAAAATTCTTGAGATGTCTTACATTCCTTTTTTTTTTTTCTTTTCCACACCAAGCCTTCAAAAATCCTCGATATATTTTACACTTAGAAACACATCCCAGTTCAGGCTGGCTACATTTAAGTGCTTAAGAGCCACCTGTGGCTAAGGGCCGCAACATTAGACAGTAGAGATATGGAGTGTGCATATGAGCATATGAGATCCAGATATCATTTATGTTATAAAGAAGGCTCATCTATACAGCACACAGATTATACCTTAAGTTATTAACTTGAATAAAGTTTAGTCATACACTGAGCTTCCTCTAAGTGCTAAATCATAGTGGGCCAAGGAGGAAAAGGACAACACCAGATAAACAGATGTAACAAAGAAAGGCTGGGATCTCAGGACAGCATCTTGGACAGGGAAAACACACCCTCGGGGTGACAAGGTGGCTCAGTTGGTTAAGCTTCTGCCTTCAGCTCAGGTCATGATCCCACTTCGGGCAGACTCTCTGCTCAGCAGGGAGCCTACTTCTCTCCCTCTGCCTGCCACTCCCCCTGCTTGCGTGCCCTTGCTCTCTCTCTCTCTGTCAAATAAATAAATAAAATCTTAAAAAAGAAAAGAAAAGAAACACAACCTCTTTTCAACTCTGGGTCCAGAGATGAAAAGACAACTTGAAATCTACCTACTAGATGAGATAGAAAATTGTACTACATTCTCCCCAAGAAATGGCACTAATGATTTCACAGGGGATATTAATGCACTATAAGAAATAGGAAATAGTAATAGTAAAAGTAATAGTAAATAGTAATAGTAATAGTAAAACGGAGACAAAGGCGAAAGATAAACTTACTTAAATTTGTAGCTTTCTCGCTTATTATTCACAAATCCATCTGCCAAATCCCGTGGTAAGATAATTTCCAGGCTAGGGGTTAATTTTTCATCTTCATCTATGGAATAAATCTGCAAATACAAAGACAACAAATGAATATAGCATGGTAAAATTATGGCTTGAATTATGACCATGTTATTATGATAGGCATTGTAACTGTATAAAAAATTGTACTCTCAAGATAAGTCATAACATAGTATAATTTGGATAATTTTCCTCTTTGAACTATGCACAGACTCTAACAAATATATGGAACAGAAAAAGAGGTAAAATCTAAATCAATGCTCTACCAAAGCTCAGATCCTCTCTGAATGATCTAGTATTCAAATTTGAGCATTTGAGTGTCTCTGTTGTTGAGAAACTAATAGTTCTGAAAGCAGAACATTAATCTAAGTACTGCTTTGGAATTATGTACCAGAAATTAACATCTTTCTACCACCAGTAAGCATTTCTGAGCATTTACAAAGTGGCCGAAGCAGATCAAAGGACTAGGTCTGAGACTTCTCAGAGAGCTCACAAGAATGCTCTAATTCAAGTTATATTCAAAGCAGCCCAAATTTCCATAAGACATATTCAGGCATTTGATAAAAGACATGTGGTTTCAAAAGACATATGTAATTCATGTCTTTGATGTCATCTTCAAGGTTCCCTCCCAGCTCAGCCACTAATTAGCAAGGGACCTGGGAGAAATTACTTAACCTCTCTAAACTGATATGGAAATGAAGGGTCTTAACCAACCCCCATTCCAACTGCAAATTCTCTGATTCTCTTCTTGGTTACCTACTCCTTTATTTACTGGCCAGGAAAATCCAGGATCAAGCCTATAAAGAGGTCACGTTGAATAAAGAATAGCATAAGACCTGGTACCCAAAGACTTGTGTCCAACACCGAACTCAATTTACCAGCTGTGTGACCAGCTACCACGTTAAGAATCTCAGTTCCTTTATACATAAAATGAGGAAAAGAGAATTGCCTCCCTTACAAGATTGCTGGGGGGATAAATGATGTCATGGAAATGGAAGCATTTTGTAATGCACCATAAAAAATGTTAGTCATTAGATTTAGAGGTTTTTTTTAAAAAGACTTCTTGTCTTTCAACAGGAAATAAAAGTCTTTCTAACAGGCAATACTTCCTGTTTAAGACTCATTTAGATGCTTGATTATGAGGGGGGGAGTCATATTCTTAAACAAGTAAAAGCTCACCTAAATCTCCCAAAAGTAAATAATTTTCCTAAGCAGATTTTTATTGAACGCTCTCACTTCAAATGTGAAGAATTCATGCAGAAAAGTCATCCTGTAAAATAAAATTATTTGTAGAAAGTAATGGCATCAGGTCTGAGACTTTCCGTGGCTAGGTTTTCTCAAGAGACATTTAAAAATTATATCCTGTATGGCACTACACTAAAAAAAAAAAAAAAAAAAAAGTTAATGGCTAGACAGGTGAGTGAAAGGGGTGTGTAAGACATGAAACATACAAGAGTGAGGTACTCCTTTTAATGCGAATCACATGTTTTCAAAAATTCTGTAACACTCAGTGCTCAGAAGACAGAAAGGACCATCGACTATGGTAAGAACAGTGACCCTTTACCTTGCTGATTAAGCCATTCTTAGAGGCATTAAGAAAAGTCCCTCTTAACCAGAAACTTATTTAGTCTAATAGACTGACTCTTTACCTTTAGTCATAACAATACTTATTTGAGACACAGTGGGGGGTTTTTAGACCCAGAAGACAATAATAAGAAATGCAAGGACGAATGTGAACATGTTTTGAAATGTACTGAACACTATACAAATGAAAAGCATGGCCGTTGCTAAAATTATAAGAGATTTGTCTTATGCATCTTCTAAGTTACCATTCTATAGATTATTATAACTTACTTTATAGTGCCTTAAGGAATAAGACTAATGAAGTAATAGAACCACAAAATGAAGAGGAAAAAAAAAATACAGGGGCACCTGGGTGGCTCAGTCAGTTAAGCGTCTGCCTTTGGCTCGGGTCATGATCTCAGGTCCTGGGATCAAGCCCCACATCGGGCTCCCTGCTCAGTGGGAGCCTGCTTCTCCCTCTCCCTCTGCAGCTCTCTCTTGCTCTCAAGTAAATAAAATCTTAAAAAAAAATACCTTTGAATCACTCCTGGTTGAATGTTACAAGCAAAGAAACAACTATACATCTCAGGAGCAAAAAGATAGGGTGCTAAAAGTGGGATTTCTAAGGGAGAGCAGGGATACACTAACTCAAAATGTGTTCAGCTGTGTTCTCTTATTTTTGTGTATGTGTAATAATGTTGCATCTTGGTAAGAATCTGCCATTATAAAAATACAGTAGGACCTAAAAATACTCCCTGGAGTATCAAACAATCCACCCTACAAAATCTCACCAAAGAAATGCAAAAGAAGGCACAGTAAAATATCCAAACACTGCAATTTAAGAAAAGAGAAAGTTCAAATTACACCCAAGATTCTCCATCAACACCCCCATCCTTCCCCCACCTGCTCACCCAACCAATCCTCTAACATTACCAAATCCAAGCACCTGCTTCCCACTGCTGAGTCTATGTAGACAAACTCAATATTTTTGGCTAAAAATCTAAAGAGGTACAGAGGGACTTTACATATAAAACACTTGGTATATATGAAGCACTTTAAAAAACCTTCTCATAAGTGAATATAAGAGGAGAGAAAATGTAAGGATATCCATGGTTCCTTTCTACATTGTTTTATTCCTTAAAAAAAAAAAAAAAGTATTTTCTTTGGAGTCTTCTCAGGCATCTTATCCTCAAGTAATCCATGAGTAAAAAATCTTTTGATGATGATGACAAAGATGCTGTATTCATTTCAAATACATAAATAACATGAGGCAAATGCTACATTATGATATACTATGATGTTACATATATACACATTGTAGTGGAATAGATATAAAATATTATTGATAATATACCCATTCCAGACTGCCCTTACCTAAGTCCTCACTTTGGGAGGCAAAAAAGTTTGGTCTGAAGAGCCAAGAACTTTGGAATAAAAAGTCCTTCATTAAAATCAGGGTTCTGCCACTCACTGGGTGGATGACTTGGCCACATTATTTAACCTATCTGAGACTCAGTTTCCTCATCTACAAAATGAGGAAAATGACATCAACCTTGCAGAGTTCTCCTGAGAATCAGAGATAATGTAGACAAAATGCCTAAGTGGTAAGAATGACTATGGTCTTTCTCCGGAGAAAAAAACATGTTTTGAAACATTTAAGAAGCACACCATGTATCTCTACTCACGGCAAGAGCAAGGTCTTAAACTTCTTGTACCTCTGAGTTTAGCACACTAGAGGAAGCACACTAGAGGAAATGCTCAATGTTTTCTGAATGAAAAGTGTATGTGTATTCTTTGCTTTGGGATGCATAAATATGTATATCTGCAAAAAGTACTATGTCAAAGGTTCATGTTTGTGTTGCACAAGCACGATGTAGTTAGGCAACAAATTCCTCAGGGCCCATTGTGCACAGAGCCACAGTGGTATGTTTTTAGTCTGTGTATCTACCTACATTATCTATATCATCTCAGACGTGTATGGACACCCATCTCTTGCTGGCACGTTCTGCCCGAATGAGAAACACACTTGGGCTTATCTGGGTGCAGAGTGTGCAGAGCTGCATGACCGCTTCCCAGAAAGGTGAGAGAAGGGTGCAAGTTGAGGCGTGGCCCCTGTGAGCGCGCACAGAGGCACACACGCACGCGTCGGCCCCTGCGTGAACACGTGTGCCCGGGCGCCTGTGCGTGGTTCTGTGCACAGGGTTCGTGCCCACAGGGCGCTGCGGGGCGGGAGTGGCCCGGGTGTCTGCCCGCGTCCCTGACAGAGGGAAGCTGGTGTCTGCGTGGCCACCGGGGCGCCTCAGCAGAGTGTGCGAGACTCGGGGAGACATCCGGCGCCCTGCGCCAAACCCCCTCCCTAGCCTAGGGCCCCGCGTGCTGTCCCTCCCCTGCCTGGGAGGCCCCGCCGCGCCGGCGCCCTCGCTGCCCGTACCCCTTGCTGCTGCTTCCGGACAGTGGGCTTCACCCTCGCGAAAATCTGTATGGTCTGCTTCACCATCTCCTACCGGCTCTGCACTGACCCTTGACCTGTCTCAGGATCTGGATCCCAAAACTTCTGACTCCCACCACTTCCGGCCAGCCGCAGCCTTAGCAACAGTAACTAGGGACACTACCCAAGGAGCACCGCGCCAGCCAGGCCCGCCTCCTCTCCCTAATTGGTTACTGACTGTAGAGGGGGCTGAAGGGAAGTACTGAGGGGCGGGGTTGGGGCGGGGCCGAACGGAGAGCGCTGCGCACGCGCCGGGTCTAGAACTCGGCGCCAGGTTTAGCTCCACAGCTGGCTTACTTAGTGGTTAATGGGGTGACAACCACCATGCCCTGACCGGTTCCTTAATCCATTCTTTCTCTGTGCCAACACCTCTTTTTAGCACTGAAGTCATTCTGTTTTTTATTATTCATTCATTGAAGAAATGTCACTTGATCTGTGACAAGCAATATGCTGGCTGGGGATGATCCTGACCTGAGCACCACTGCCTCTGCCCACTTAGAGATGAGGGTCTGATGAAGGAGGCAGCTTTTCCACAGGAAGTTACAAGTTACATCGGGATTGGGCATGGGATTCTGTGGAAGGCGCCTCTTCTATCTCTGTTTTGGAAGAGGTTAAGACTCGAAGAGAGAAGGACCGTTTGCCATGCAATGGCCCTGTCAGGAATGGATGGGTTCCCTTGTGCACGGTTAGTAGGAAGGCAAATTTGTGCAGTCACTATGGAAAACAGAATGGAGGTTCCTCAAAAAATGAAAAATAGAAGTGCCTTTCTATTAGAAGTGCAATTCCACCTCTGGAAATATATCCAAAAGAATTGAAATCTGGATGCCAAAGAGATCATTGCACCCCCATAGTCATCACAGTGTTAACCAAGACATGGAAAACACTTAAGTGTTCATCAGTGGATAAATGGATAAATAAAATGTGATATGGGTATATATGAAGATTATTTGATATATTATTTATCATCTATAAGTAACGGAATATTTTTCTGCCTCAAAAAAAAAAAAAAGAAATCCTGCCATTTGCAGCTACACAGATGAAACTGGAGGGCATTATGCTAAGTGAAATAACTTAGATGGAGAAAGGCAAATAGTGTATGATCTCACTTATCTGTAGAATCTAAAAGAGCTGAACTCATAGAAACAGAGTAGAATGGGTGGCCAGGGGCTGGGGGCAGGGTGCAGCAAATGGACAGATACTGGTCAAAGGTACAAATTTCCAGTCATAAGACAAATAAGTTCTGAGAATCTAATGTATAGCATGGTGACTCTAGTTAACAGTATTTTGTTATATGAACTTGAAAGTTGCTAAGACAGTAAATCTTAAATATTCTCACCAGAAAAATAGATGGTAATTATGTGAAATGATGGAGGTGTTAACTTTATTGTGATAACAATTTTGCAGTACAGATGATCCCTGACTTATGATGGTTTGACCAGTGATTTTTCAACTTTATGATGGTATGCATAGTGATATGCATTCAGTAAAAACTACTTAGAATTTTGAATTTTGATCTTTTCCTAGGCTGACGATATGCAGTATCATGCTGTCTCATGATGCTGGGCAGCAAAGGGGAGCCACGGTCCCCAGTCAGCCACATGACTACAAGGTTAAACAACCTACATTTCCAACCATTCTGTACCCATACAACCATTCAATGCATGGTTCAATACATTACATGAGATGTTCAATACTTTATTATAAAATAGGCTTTGTGTTAGGTGATTTTTCTCAACTGTAGGCTAATGTAGGTGTTCTGAGCACATTTAAGGTAGGCTAGGCTAAGCTACGGATGATTAGGTGTATTACATGCATTTTCAATTTGTGATATTTTCAACTTAAGATAGGTTTATTGGGACATAACCCCATCACAAGTTGAGGAAGATCTATATATACATGGATCAAATTATCAAATTATACACCTTAAACTTATATGTCAATTAAATCTCAATAAAGCTGGAAAATACATATATACACACATTCATACATATCTACAAAGTCAAATACTGTATGATTCCACTTCTATAACATGCTTAAAATGGCAAAATTATAGAGATGAAGAGGAGATTAGTGGTTGCCAGGGGTTAGGAAAGATACATACATACATACATACATACATATATAAGGAAGGATGAGTACCTCGAAAGACACTGTTAGCACATGAAAAGATGTTCGACATCATTATCCACCAGGAAAATACACATTAAAACCACAATGAGATGTCACTACACATCTCTCAGAATGGCTAAAATAAAAAATAGCAACAAAACCAGGTCATGACTGGGATACAGAGAAACTGAATCACACATACGTTACTGGTGGTGTTATAAAATGTAAAATGTATCATGGATAATGGTACAGCCATTCTAGAAAACAGTTTGGCAGTTTCTTACAAAACTAACAATGCAACTACTGCAAAGGAGTTATGCTCATGAGTGTTTATCCCAGAGAAATGAAAAGTTGTGCTCACACAAAAAAAACTGTACTTAAATGCTCATAGCAGCTTTATTCGTAATAGCTCCAAAATGGAAATGACCAAGATGTCCTTCAACCAGTGAATGGATTAAAAAGCTGTGGAATACTATTCAGCAATAAAAATGAAGGGACTATTAGTACATATAACAACTTGGATGAATTTTCAGGGAATTATGCTGAGTGAAAGAAGCCAGACTTGACTCAAAGTCAAATACTGTATGATTCCACTTCTATAACATGCTTAAAATGGCAAAATTATAGAGATGAAGAGGAGATTAGTGGTTGCCAGGGGTTAGGAAAGAAGGGAGGGCGTAAGGTGGCTATGGCTATAAAAGGATCCTGGTGATGGAGTGTTAGTATCTTGACTGTGGTGATGGTCACAGAAATCTACATGTATGATAGAATTGCATAGAATGAAACACACTAGCATACACACACACACACACACACACGATTGGATATAAAGCTGGTGAAAGTTGAATAAGATGGATTGATTGTATCAATGTCCATTCCTTGGTTGTGATGTATTATAGTTAAGCAAGATGTTACCTGGGGGAAACTGGGGAAAGGGGGGAGCAAAAATCTCTCTGTATTATATCTTACAACTGCATGTGAATCTACAATTATCTCAAAAGACAAAGTTTTTAAAAAGAAACTCTTAGAGAATAAAAAGACAAGCCACAAACTAGGAGAACATTTTTGCAAAACACATATCTGATAAAGAACTTGCATCTGGAATACCTAAAAACTCTCAAAACCCAATAAAAAAATAGGAAAACAACCCAATTTTTATTTTGAAGGGGATCAAAGATTTCAACAGACACTTCCCACTATACAGATGGCAAATAAGCATGTTTAACATAAGATGTTAACATAATTAATCATTAACAAAATGCAAATTAAAACCACAATGAGGGACGCCTGGGTGGAGCAGATGGTTGAGCATCCAACTCTTGGTTTTGGTTCAGGTCTTTATCTCAGGGTTGTGAGTTCTAACCTGGCCTCAGTCTCCAAGTTCAGCACAGAGTCTACTTAACACTCTCTCTCCTCTGCCCCCAACCCTGTGCTCTCTCTCTCTCTCTCAATCTCTCTCTCTCTAAAATAAATAAATCTTTAGACACACACATGCACACACACACACACACTCACACACGAGATACTACTACAAACCTCTTAGAATGGCTAAAAATAAGAAAATAAAACTAGGAATACCAAAAGCTGACACGGGTAGAGAACATCTGGAACTCTCAAACATGGCTGGAGAGAATGCAAGATGGACCACTTTGAAAAAGAGCTTCAGTGTTGCTTATTATATAAAGTTATATACGCACTTGCCATATCACCCAGCAATCCCACTCCTAAGTGTTTACTCAGTGCAAGGAAAACTGACATTCCCACAGAAAGGTAAATGTGAATGATTATTATCGTTTTATTCACAATTGCCCTGAACTAGAAATGAAGTAAATGTTCTTCAACTGATGACCTGGATAAACAAGCTAATACATATACACAATAAAAAGGAATAGACTGCTGATATCTGCAACAATGTAGTTGAATATTAAATTTATTATGCTAAGTAAAAGATGCTAGACTCAAAGTTACACACAGTATAATTCCATTTATATGACATTCTAGAAAAGGCAGAACTATAGGGATAGAAAACAGATCAGTGTTTGCCAGGGCTAAGGACAGGGAAGAAACTGACTGCAAACGGGCATGGGAGAGTTTGGGGGGTGGGGAGTGGTGGGACTTTCATATCTTGATTGCAGTTGCAGTTACATGACTATATACATTTGTCAAAACTCGTAGACCTTAAAAGTGTGAATTACATGGTATGCACATTATATTAGTATAAGAAAAACCAAAAAAAAAAAAAAAGAGGATGGGGTATGAACAGGTGTGGCAGTAGCAGGGGTGGAGAAGAGGAGAGAATCACGAGAGAACCAGGTATTTATGAAGTAGACTTTAAGGTCTTTTTCACCTGGTGCTGGGTGGTAAGGAAGAAATGATTTAAGATCGGGCAACACCTCCATCTTAGCTGTTGTGAGTAATGCTGCAGAGAACGTGGGAGTGCAGATATCCCTTCTAGATACTGATCTTGTTTCCTTCAGGAGTGGGACAGCCTAAGTGTTTGTCTATGGATAAATGGATAAAGAAAATGTGGGAAATATATATTTATATCTATCTATACACAAAACAGAATAGTACTCAGCCATAAAAAGAAGAAAATCTTGCCATTTGTGACAACACAGGTGTACCTTGAAGATATTATGCTAAGTGAAATAAGTGAGAAGAAAAATACTGTGGGATTTCACTTATATGTAGAATCAAAAAAAAAAAAAAAAGTCAAACAGAGTGGAATGGTGGTTGCCAGGGACTGGGGAGCCGGGGTGGAGGCAGTGATGGGAAAACATTGGTGAAAAGGTCTAAACTTTCAGTTATAAGATAAATACATTCTGAGGACCTAATGTACAGCATGCTGACTATAGTTAATAATACTGTGTTGTATCCTTGACAGCTGCTAAGAGAGTCAATCTTAAGTGTTCTCACCACAGAAAAATTTACAAG